TGAAGCCACTTTTAGGTAACTGAGGGACTATAGAGCGACCATGAAACTTCTGCTTTTTTAAAAAAAACATAGTTGTGCTTGCTCAGTTAGCATCTCAGAAAACATTCTGTTGTTAACTAACATTTGAACTTGCTTGAAACATTGCAACCCTGTAGTTTGTCTATTTTTTTTTAAACAACTTTCTCTTGTAAAACTGATTATAGATACACTCAGCAGATTACTTAAGGAATTAAAAGTAATCAGCAGAAATCTGGTAGCGCCTTTTCTGACTACCATATGTTATACAGAGGAATAAGCTTTCATAATAAATAAAATGAGTTAGTTGGCTGAGTTGCTGATTTTTGGCTCCCATAAAACTGTTCTCCTCCCATTATATAAGGGATAAATGCCTATATGTCACTTAACCATGAATACTGTAAAGTGCAAGTAGCACTAATTTCAATAAGTTGTTTGGAATGATATATTTGTAATATTCTATAATCTTAGATTCAAAAGTGAACTGTCTTTGAATATAGATAGCTGTTGTCAAAAAGTATTGGCTAACTTAATTGTCCATATTATCACTGGATCTATGTTAAAAAAAAACCCTATTAATTTAGGAATTTTCCAATAACCCTTTTTAGGTATTTTTTTCTGGAAAAGACAAAGGAGGTAATTTAATAGTTTTGGCAAATAAACCTCGTGACAGGGTGGATATCGGAATCTGTATTATTTGTTGGAACTCAACCTAGACTTTGAAACAGAACAGACACTTAAAATAATCCAGGAGCAGGGAGTGATTCCAAATATACTATGACAAATGGGTACTTTTTGCTAGGATATTTAAAACACTAAATTTCAAGCAAGCATCTTATGACTGTGCTGACATCTCAATTCAGCTTTTTTACATACACAAAATGAAAGCATTTATGGGTTACAGGAAACTAGGTCCAGGGCATCAGATTGGTAAAATCAGACTTTTACAGTAGCTTCCAGATGTTCTGGAGCACAAGTTAATGAGAACACATGGAAACATATTGGGAAAAAAAATCAGGAAACACATTTTTTACACAAAAGCAAAACAGTGGAAAATTATTATATGCATAATACTGGAATGCATTTATTGTCATTATCACTCTGGGGTATTCCTGTTTTCATTTTAATTCCATGTGGTATTAAAACAAGAAAAGAAAAACATTTTTCTGTAAATTAGTGAATGATAAAAGATTTATATGTTCAATCATCATAGGATTTTTCCTGATGTTTAAACTACTTTCTTATTTTTTTTCAACTAAAGTAACTTGGTGAGAAGTGGCTTAAAACTCTTTCTTTAAACCCCATTTTAAGTTTTATAACCTAAGCAAATGTTAGAGATATACATTTCCTCACATTATGACACTACAAATACCATCATCTTGATACACATATTACATATTATTGCCCATATACTCTGCACCTAGGAAGTCCTAGTAGAATAAGGCATGGGAACAGGTTGGTACTATGAGATTTGCAGGAAGAAAATTTTATTTATAAATCCAATATTGTTCACTTATTTGAAAAGTTATGTTCTGAATGTTTACACCTACCTTAAATAGATCACATGGCGGTTTTGGACAGACTCACATATACTTCAAAAGGATGAGACAAAAATAGATTGCATTGTCTGATACATTAAACATGGGTTGGGTACATTCCCTTTCTGATGCCTTAAACCTAGTAATCACACCTCTATATATTAGTAACAATTCACCAAAACACAAATGTGTGATCTCCTGCTTTTTTTCAGAAAAAAAGCAAACAACAGAAATATATAAATCTTCAAGCAGGATTTATGCACCTGAAAAAAAATATAAAACTCTACGTCCCATGGAAACCTTAGCATCACCCACTTTACATGGTATCATTATGTCTTAGCTCTGCTGCATAAGGGCATCTGGCGTGAGAGTGCAGAAACATTAAGATCATGGATATATCAACACGATCAAAGGCCCAGCTCTTTTTTACATATTCACAACACACATCAAAGACATATGTTTGCAAAGGCTTTAATTGTACCAACCATTTTTACTTTTTTGATCTTCACCCTCTGGACACCCAACAGCAATACAGACATACGTACATATACACGTATACATATTTAATCAAATTATAATTTGATTATAGGAACTTAGACTGATGGATGTAAGAAGGGACGTAAGATTAGAGCAAATAGAGAGGTGGATGAATATGGCAGTCCTGCATAAAGGTAATTGAGCAAACACTAACCCATTTATATTTATGCAAGACAATTGCTGAAAAGTTACAGTTTCATACTAAAGCCCAGAATCACAGAAAAAAGAAAGTTTTCTTGATATTTTCTCTTGTACAGTTTTTCTATAGAAAATCGAATCTCTAGTACCAATGCTTTGACTGCCACTGGAGAAAAGACAGAGTACTTCAACAGTCCTGCTTTTGGACCAAAACTTTTCAGGGCATTGAAAGCAATTGTCTCATCACTGAGGGTATCAGAAAAATTGGGCTACCTCAAAGTCACAATTACTTTTGTTTACTTTCAGACATTTCTACCACTCCTTTTCTCTCAAGTGTACAAGAGAATTTATAACATGTGACTGCTATTTGGACTCTTGACTAGTCTTCAAAAATACAGAACAGCATGATGACTTTGCATATAACAAAGGACCATTGGCCCATATTATTACATGCAAAAAAAAAAAAAAAGTCCAAAATGCTGCTAGCCTTCCCTGCTTGCAAAATTGCAAAACAATGTCTGAATAGTAGGCATTAGACATGAGCTTTATGGAATAGAAGTTACAGCTGTGTGTATGCATGTTGTTAGTTTAATATGTCTTTGGGGAGTTGGCCATTATATACACAAACAAAACCAAAAACAAAGACAAGACAGTCTAACAACATACAGAGTAACATAATCTTAAGATCTGTGTTTTAATTTTTTTTTTTATTTTGCATGTTATCTTTCTATTATTATACTGTATTATTACTTCCATTACACTACAGGAAATGGAAGGCAGGATTCCGTGATCTCTACAGGAAGGCTAATTTTTATCAGGTTCCTCCCTTCCTTGAACCATTTTCATTTCAGATTTAGAATTTGGTGCCTCTTTCATCTCTTCCCTTTTCATTTCTTCCTACTGTACTTTTATGCTATGACTTTTCTGAATGTAGGGGTGACCAATGGGTATGGATCAAAAAAGTCAAGGTGGTGGCAATGCACATAAAAAAGCAGGTGGAGCTTCAACTGTATCATCATAACCTTCTTGATTCTTTTGACCACACCATGTAGACAACTCAATGTAGGACCGCAGGCTAGAACTATTTTATTTTAATGACTATATATAAAACCCATAGTAGGAAACAAAGAAGTCAAATAAAATTATTTTGAAAGAATCACCAGTGACCCAAGTGATGCTGTCACTGCCCTCTTGCGATGCCTGGAGGCTGTGGGGATCTGGATAGGGGACAACAGACTTCTGCTGAACCCTGGTAAGACCAAGTGGCTTTGGGTATGTGGAGCTTTGGCATCTGGTACATTAACATCTTTAGTTTTGGATGGGATTGCACTGCCCCAGACATGCCAGTGTGCAATTTGGGGGGTTCTCCTGGACTCGTGACACTTGCTTAAGAACGGGGCAATCGTGGCTAGGAGAGCCTTTGCACAATGTTGCGTTGTGCAGTTGTGCCCTTTCCTGGATCGGGAGTCCCTGTGCTCAGTCAATCAAGCCAGGGTCATCTCATGCTTGGACTATTGCAATACACTCTACATGGAGCTATCCTTGAAGAGTATTCAGAAGTTACAGCTGACGCAGAATGCAGCTGCGCAGATAGTTCTTGGAGTCCGTAGGATGGCCCATATTACACCACTGTTTCATGATCTACACTGGTTGCCAGTTTGCTTTAGGGTCTAATTCAAGGTATTAGTTTTTACCTTTAAAGCCCTTCATGGCATGGGTCCAGGTTATCTGAGGCACTGTTTCACCTCAATGGGATTAGCCCTCCCCATCCGTGCCAGCAAAAGGGGCATGCTACAGGCCCCATTGGTCAAGAAATTCTGGCTGGCAGGATCCAGGAGAATCGCTTTTTTTGCCATGGCTCCCACTCTCTGGAACATCGTGCGTCTTCCCCTCCCCGAGGTGAGATCTGTACCCTCATCCAAGTCTTCTGAAAGGGCCTGAAGGCCTGGCTCTGCCAATTGGCCTGGTATGTCATGCTGGAGACAGTAAATAGATTAGGTAGACCCCATCTCCTCCCTGTGTGCATCTTGTGCCCTTCCTCCCCATTTCTGTCAATTTTAAATCAAGTTTATTTATTGTTTTAATGTTTTATATTGGTGTTTATTGATTGTAAGCTGCTTAGAATTGCCTCTAGATAAGTTAAATATATTAGATAGATAGATAGATAGATAGATGGATGGACGGACGGACGGACGGACGGACGGACGGACGGACAGACAGACAGACAGACAGACAGACAGATAGATATCCTTATGGGCCTAAGAATTTATAGCTATGGGCCGATTAGGACGTTTCTGAAATAGAATCACCCACTTCTATAAACTGCCCAGCCCAACATACTATAAAAAAGACAAATATCAACAAAACCTATACAAACCAGTAACAATTAAAACTGAAATGAAATATTACCATAGGAAATAAAACAAGTATCACAAGAAAAACTAAAAGTAAACCTGCAATATTACTGTAATTCTATTTTACTTGCATGATATATTCCCCTGTAATCAAGCATTTACAATCTATTTTCAAGTTTGTAAAAGTAACTGTTTTGATTTGGGATTTTTTAAAATACTACCCAGATCTACGGAAATTGGTTTGAATTTACCAACCAAAGTGAAAATGAATAATACCATGTAACAAAAGCAAAAACATAGTGCTATAAAAACGATTCTAGATGTCTATGACTAAAAACAAAGACATTATTGGGAGGAGGTAAAGCAAAGGAGAAAATAGAGACTTTTCTTTTAAAGATTACATCTAAAGAAACTGTACCTCATGTATGATGTTGGGGACAAAGGCTTTGATTTGGCCCACTGATAGGGATGCTGCGGAACTGAAAGATACTGATCACAGAAGCTTCCTTTCCTGATGTGCTGGAACCCAGGAAATTCTTCTGGTGATAAATCGGTAATCGGTGATATGGTCCCCTGATCATCTCCACTAGGCTCAGTCTTGAGTGCCATGGAGGGAGTGTGATCTATTGCAGTTTTCCTAGACTTGATAGGAATTCCATCATTCATATCTATTGTGCTGTCAGTAGTGAGGGCATTGATTGCTGCGACAATGGCTGAACTGGTATATTGGTTAGTGTTTCCCAACCATGTCTCATCAGTCACACTAACCCTTGGAGAATTCTGGGGAGAAGGAGTTGGGGAGTGATGTGGAGAGTAGGATGTCTGTCTGCCATTCAAACTGTATTTTCTCTTATTACAGGGAGATGATGGTCTAGAGTTGCGAGAGCTCAGCCAGTTTTCTTCAGTAATACTTGTTCTGGGAGACGTGGAAGGAGAATGTCGGGGTGAATTAAGGAGTGTGCAGGGAACTAAACTTCGCTGATACCTCTCCTCAGTTTCATTGGTCTTGGGCGATACGCAGGGCGATTGCCAAGGAGATGTCTGGGGTGAAGTATAAGGATAGGAATAATTTGATTCATAGGAAGATGCTTCTGAATTACAACTTCTGGAAGACAGGCTACTGGCAGGGCTCAGACAAGATGGGTCCCTGTAAGCCTCAATGTTTGGTAAATTCAAAGTAGCGGTAGAAGGCGATCTCTTTGTGTTTTGGGTGGATTCATCAATCTCAGCTTCATGGAAGAACTGATTATTGTTTTGATGCAGCCCTAGGTAGGTGGTTATTTCAATTCTAGGACTTTCTAATGCTGGCACTCCATTAGGTCTGACACTTGGAGCCAAATAATATCCAGCAGTGCTATTGTCAGCATGCCCTCCATAACCTGAAAGATGATTAGCTGATGAGACATTTGGAATGACTGGAATAGACGTTTGAAGGCCGTGACATGGAGTTGGCAGTGAAGAATGTGCCACATTTAGAGGCAAAGTTGAATTTATATTTGAAGATGCATAGTTATAATGTTCTGAAAAAGATAAACAAAAAAAAAAGAATGACATGAGATGTTGCTCACATACACACAAACAAATTAATTTATTAGTAAGCTGAATCCCTGTCATGATCCAATGAATATAGTAGAGTTTTCTCTGGAATCAAAGCGTACCTTAACCATTTCAGAAATGGCAAAGAGCTAGTGTCATTTAGCCATCCAAGAATGAACTAGGACCAAAGGGTTCTAGGTTCTAGGTTTAAGTCCACTCTCAACCATGGAAGCTCATTAAAGATTTGGGACCAGTCACCTTCTTTCGGCTCCACCTACCTCACAGAATTGTTGTTGCAAAAATAAACCCCACACAAATTGGAGAAGGGAAAGCTATGTATGCCACCTTGAACTTCTAGACAAAGACAGTAAGAAATAAACTTGGAAATTAACTAGCTCGTGAGTTCTTAGACTCCATTTACCTTTTTTCAAGTCAGAATTTGCAATGACATTCTTTATAACAGGACTATCAAGTTATTTTTGAGCAGAGTGAAGTATTTAACCTTTAAATGGTGTGCCAGAATCAGACCAGGGCCAGTGGCCAGGACATAAAGTACACTTAATTTATTACCAACGTAAACAGAAATAAACTGAATGCAGTGAATACGGTATGATCACTCTCCAATATAAAATAATAAATTGTTCTCCTTCAACCACATAAACAAAACATGGAGGGTCTTGAAGGCTGTTATTACAGAATAGCAGAACAAGCAGAAATCTGTAGAGTGAACACACCTTTGGATGTTACTGCATGAAAGTCAGTGTGAATTGTGCACTTTCATTAGCATTTCTGGTATAAATAAGAATGCAGTGATTCACCTTGCACCCCACAGCAAGGATACAAGCTGCTCTTTGGAGACTCCTTTTTAACGGAGCAGAAAGAATGGAAATTATCCAAGTAAACTTTCTTGGTACCCTTAAAACATTCAAAGGCATCTTCAACCTCTTCTACAGTATCATAAATTATGTGACATACAGGAAGCATTACAAACAAGCTTTTTAGAAGTTATGGTTTAAAAGTATGAAGAACAGAAAACTGCAGCAGTTTAAATACCAATCGGTTTATGCTAATATATTTTGATTATAAATTTGGTACAAGTAAACAGAGCTACCCTCTCTAGAAATGGCAATTTCCAATCTTCTCCTTTTTGGGAAGGCTGTGGAAAAGATGACAGCTTCATGATTCAAGACTGGAATGCAACTGGGGGTCTTTCTGGACTCAAAGCTACTGCTCAAAGAACAGTAGCTGTGAGTGCGTGGCAGTTGTGGCCTGGAGGGTCTTTGCACACAGGTTCATCTTGTGCACCAGTTACCCTTTCCTTGATCAAGAGGCCCTTCAGATAGTTATTCATGCCCTGCTCCCTTTGATTGGATTACTGTAATGTGCTCTTTATAAAGCTGTATCATGGAACTATAACTACCACCTGGAAATTATAGTTGGTTAAAAATGCAGCAGGCTTCCAAACACCAGAAAAGTGGCCAATCCTGCATATAGTCTACAACTGGTGAGAAGAAAAGACTTCCACAGGTAAGTTTAACAGATTCCATAGAATAAAACAACCATCACAACACTATCTCCCCTTTATTCTTTTGCTATTCTAAGTCAAACTAATGCTCTGCTAAATCAAGCTATCTTTTCTTACCTTGACAAAAATTGCATCTATCTTTTTAAAAAAACTTTAAATGAGTTATTTACTACAAGAAATCGACTCCAGTTTACAAAATACACAGGAGAGGAAAGTGCTTTTAAGTACTGATCTGAATGTTGAAGCACCTTTTTTTTTTTTACATTTGCTAAATTTCACCTGCTGAGCTGAATTTGAGTGATCGTGTGTTTTTAATATACTAAACTAAGTGGAAATCAATTATGCTTTAACACAGCATATAATCTAATTTCAACCTCCTTTTCCATGTTAAATTGTCCTCTTGCCTTTGCTGTAATAAATAAACACACTCACGTTGTGCAATTCTGTACTGCTGAGCTACATTGCCGACCAATGAGTGAGAATGAGCAAAAAGGGGGGGACAAAATTCAACATGCTGCAGTTTTTCTCTGAACCCTGCTGTTATTCTTTCTGAGGCGTACACAATTTCCCATGATCCTTGTGAAAAGGTGCATTATTCTATTGAGCAACTCCTCAACACAGACTCACAATGGCTAGTTCTTGGACCTATTGGAATTACATTATCTATCCTTTCTTTTCCATGTGCGTGTGATACTGTATGCTTGAATATACACAACAACAATTCCAGGTATTCATAAAAGGATATGAATCCATTACAAACTACAAACTGCCATTTCCACTGTTCCAACCATTCGCTTGTCATTTTTTTGTTATCAGCCCTACCTCAAGTTTCAATATGCCTTTAGCTTCAGTTGCTTTTTAAGAATTCTTGAGTGATTGAAGCAAAAAGGCAATGCGTCCTCTCATTTCCTCTACATATAATGTTTGCTTCCTTCCTCTCCCCCGGAGGCAAATGCTCCAGGCGATGTCACTCCTCTAACATATACACTGAGATCCGGAAAAGCTCCATTAATGATCATGGCTCTATTCCCAACTGAACTCCAATGTTCCTCTACTAGTTAAATGACAATGTTGACAAAGGACATACAATATTACTCCAGCTGCTACAGAAGTAGCTCCGTGATGTTTGGGGCTTTTTTTTTTCATGTTAAACACCATTAGTACATTCAACACCTATTATACGCCTATTATTTACCAAAAGATGGCCATTAACATCCAGGTGTGGAGCAGCACAAATAAAACAGGGCTTTTTCTCTTTCCAGTTTGGCGTTCCATCTAAACCCATTGTATTCTAAAATACTGAGGCCTAATTGCTTATACTTTGTGTACATAGAATATTTTGACCTGCACAGAAAACAGGAAATGATTCAAAAATTACCCTCAACCAAAAAGCCACACAGAATGTCAGTCATTATGAGAAAAAAATGGAAGCAAAATTCATACATGGAAGGAAAGAGCACTTTCAGCCTTTTTCACATGCTTACTAACTCCTGAAATTGTTTCCAGGAGCAGATCAGACTCACAGTTTGCCACCCTCAATTTACACACTATATCTCTGTTCCTTTGTGGATAATGTTACTTTCCTATGAGAAGGCAGATACCCTTATTCATTCCCCAAAGAAGTCATGGAAAAAATTGATGTTCATTACAGGGAGATTCACACGGATGACCTGCAACACCATCTCATACATGGATAAAAGCATATTTAGGGCAAATTGATATATATCTGAAGAGGTCTAAAGCTGTATTTCTTCTAATAGCCACAGTCATACTGTAAGTGTGCTGTCAATAGCATATATACATCCCAGGAAATAAACATTATTGGACAACAGTTCAGTGCTGAAGGCTTACCTGCATGGTGTAAAATCTAGGAAAATGTTAAGTCTATTATAGAGGAGTTAACACAAGAAGAACAGTTTTTGGATGAACAGCATGGAGTCTTCTCTAATTAAAAGTAGGTACAATGGACAGATAATTAGGAAAGATGTATCCATCAAAGAAGGTATAGTGAAGAAAGTGGAATACAAACAAACCTATACAGTACTTTTGCACTGTAGCATTTTACAAAGTGTGTATGGGGGTGCAATTAATATATGTACATTCAATTCCTGTACCATTCCTAGTCATATAATATTTTATGCAAATTGTGTATATTATGGGTAATAACAAGTGCGCTTTCCTGTGTTTTTAAATACACTAAAATAGTTGGAATAAAATAATAAGGAAAAATCTGTGACCTAATGGAATTGGGATTATCTCCACTTTTCTACTCCATGCCTTCCCAGCTGGTAGAAAGCAGCAGTATTTGGTAGATGAACTTGGAACGGACAAGTCCATTCACACTTAATATTTGGAGGATTTGGAACATCTGAATAGGGCTCTTGTAAAGCAGACATGGGAAACCTGACTCAAAATCTATTTCATTTACAACAGGGTAACACTCATTCTCCAACTATGTGATTCCACAACCCCTGAAAGTGAATTTGGGCAACCCCCCCCCCAGGTTAAAAAAAAGGTTTCATTGAAGTAGTAATATTGAAAAGTTCCTGCTCAATTACTGTAGCCAAGGCAACATTTAAAAGACCCCATCCAAGTTACTTGTGCCTCTTAGGGGTTCTGACTCTCAATCTGCAAGTTATACTAATTAGGGCCATACAACTGTAACCTTCTTTGCATCAGCTGCATAATAATATGGAAATTTCATGCTCAGAGTGCAATGCAACCTACTGTCTAAATGCCTGATGCAGTCTGGGTTAGGAAGGAAACATACTGGGTTATATATATACGTACGTTATATAAACAGGAAAGTTCTCAAGATTGTTTTTCTGTATCCAATTACACTAATGCCACTGCACAGCTACTAGAAATATACAAAGGCTAACATGGGGACTGGAATCCAGAGGCTTGGTGGATCCAGATACTAGTCTACTTATCAAAGAATTATAGCTTCACAAAAGAAATCTTTTCAAACCACAAGTTTGTATAGGATCATCTCCTTACAACCACTTATGTGGCTGTAAAACCAACAAAGATATGTACCATACTGTACATTATTTGTTTAACTATACTCCAGTTGAATTTCATCACATCCTGGATTAAACAGGCAATCTGAGGGGATATTTATAATCTATATATTAGGGTCACTTTGTGGTGAGATGGGCAGCAAATTAATTAATTAATTAATTAATTACACACACACATACAGTTCTTCCCTTGTTGAAAGCCAATGCAGGGATAACAAGTTGCTTATCTCTGGACCCTGTGTGACATTTCCAACCCCTACTCTCCTTTTGCAAATCTGGCAAGCCACCTGACTTAGGACACAGGTCCAGGTACACAACATGCTTCTAACCATTTTTATCCTACAGAACTTCAAGGCTGATCCACAAGCCCTAGGTGGGTAGTTATGGGGAACCTGACACCCACCCCTGCCCCCTTGCTTGCTGTCCTGCATTTTTTTTTCACAAGTTCCACTAGTTCAGCTTTTTAGAAAACAATTTCCACCATGAAGCAGTGACATGAAGGACTGGTCCTTTCTTAAAAGTTCTCCAATGAAACAGTAATGCTTTTTTTTTTTTCACAAGTCCACAGTGACACTTCAGTAGTAGACCTGTCTCTTGTCTTTTTTTGTTTGTTTGTTTTACAAGTTCCTTGATGGAACAGAGAACAACTGTCTTTGGTTTTGTTTTGTTTCCACCGGGTGAAGTTGGCAAGAGTTCTGCCAGTTTCCCCTTCAAGCGACAAGAAAAAACTGTAACATGGTGGAATTGTCTTTTTGCGGTGGAGGTCGGGCATTTTTTTTTTTAAAAAGGGGAACCCTCAAAGCCGGGCGTGAACAACCAAGTTGAGACAGCAGAAGGGCAGAGGGTTCAGCTTCATTTCCAGCCCATCTCCCTCACGGGAAAAGCCGCGACTCTCCCCAAGCCCTTTGCGAGAAAGATTCTGCTTCTGTTCGTCCTTTAGGGAGTAGTGAGGAGAAACACCCCCAAATCCGAGCTACTCCCTAGGACTGGGCTCCGCTGGCTTTGGAGGAGGAGCGGGGGGGAGGGGGGTCGAAGGCAGAGCGAGCGAGACGCCTCAACAACCCCAGCAACGGGCGGCGCTTCGAGCTCCCTCCCTCCAGTCCCCAGGCTCAGCCTATTGTGGAGACGGCTCTTTCCCGTCCCAGAAGAACCGCTATATTTAACGCGCTGCAAATAAACGCTCTTCGCCCTCCCTCTCCCCGCGCCGGTCCCGTCCCGTCCCTGGAGGACGGCAGCCGCCGCCGCTGCCTCGTCACCAACCTTTGCCGCCGGCAGCCTCGTTGCTCTGGTTAAACTCGAAGAGGAAATCGAAATCAAACTCTGGATCTTCCTCCAGGCCGCTCATGGCTCGACGGGCAGAGACCGGGCAGGGCACGAGTGCGCCCCGCCGCCGCCGCCTCCTCTCCCGGGGCTGCAAAGGGGCCGGAATGTCCGCCCCCACCCCCCGATCTCCGCAGACACCTGTTGCAGAGGGAGCGCTACGGGCGGTCAGCTGCTGGCTAGCCCGGCAAGGGAACTCGCGGCCTCGGGGGTCGCGACGGCTTCTCCGCTGTCCGGCACTCTGGCCGCGTCTGTGACTGGCAGGTCCCAGGACGCCCAGGCAGCCTCCCCGGGTCGGTGCAACGTGACCTTTGACGAGCGCGGCTCGCTCCCTTATCTCGCTATCGCTGCCTGTCTGTGAGATCCTCCTCCTCCTCCTCCCTTTGTTTATCTATACCCGGAAACATCAACAATCTAGTTGCTCTGCTCTGCAAGCCTCTCTGGTTCCTCATTTTAAAATAACCCCTCGCCGCTCGAGTTACAGCCCAAAGGGGTTTGGCCCTGGCCTCGCTCCCACCCGGGCTGGGCCACCAAGCTAAGGGGGGACCTCTGGGCAAAGCCGGCCCTACTGTTAGCTGGAGTGAAATGGCCGTTGGTTTGGGCTAATTAGAAAAGGGCAACAGCACCGTCTCAGCTTTGCTGGGGGTCTAAATTATACCTGGTTAGTAGTTGGAATCCCAGGGCCGTGAGGTTAAACCTGGAAGTAAAAATATAATACATGGAAAAGGCAATGAGAAATTGGAATCGGATTTTATTTTTTTTATCAGTTCGGTGTTGGGTTTAATTATTTATAAATTACAATTATAATTAAATTGACATGATAAATTAAATAATAATTTATTATTGCTGTCCAATTTTTAATTCAAGAAAGCCCGATTGATGTAGTGGTTTAAGGCACCAAGGTAAAAACCAGGAGACTGTAAATTCTAGTCCAGTCTTAGGCACAAAGCCAGCTTGGGCCAGACACTTTCTCTCAGCCCTAGGAAAGTTGCAATGGCAAACTATTTCCAAAACCTTGCCAAGAAAACTGTAGGAAATAGTCCAGGTGGTGCCAGGAATCAACAAAGACTTTAAGACGCATACAAACACAGACTTTTTTTTTATTCGGGGGGATTGCAATTTTAAGAACTTTTAACCAACTTAACTTTGTTAGAACTCACATACTTTGTCTCAATCTCTGCTTGTAGATTGTCAAGCAACCCAATATTAGGAGGTAAGATACAATCAAACAAAACATTATTTGTATTTCTTTAAAGAGGTTGCTATATTAATTAGTCCCAATTATTAAACTAGTGTTTCTCAGATGATCATCCTTCAGCAATAGGATGTCTTCAAACAAAAACATTCTTTTCTGTAATTGAGGAACCTTGAAGTATTAGCAGTGTGCTGGCAGCAAACATGATAGTATTCTAAATAGTAAGACACCTGACTGTCCTAGACGATCAGTGAGGCACTTCTTGCCTTTATTTCTCTCATCAAAGATTCACCGCTTGAGACTGTGGATTTCACCTTGCTTAATAGGGAACTTAATCCTGCTGTCAACACTGTAATATATGTGCATATATGATAATACCTAAATATGTCAACAGTGGTGCTCACTGATCTGAATTTGGGGCAGAACTCAGTAGATTCACTCAGCCAAATGAAGAGACCCATACCTACCCTATCATGGTTTTGAAATGAAATAATATACATTTACATCTAGATCAGTGTTTCTCAACCTTGACAATTTTAAGGCATGTGGACTTCAACTCCCAGAATTCCACAGCCAGCAATGCTGGCTGTGGAATTCTGGGAGTTGAAGTCCACATGCCTTAAAATTGTCAAGGTTGAGAAACACTGATCTAGAGAGATTTATCCTAATTTTACAAGATTATACCCAGAGGCTAAAGATGAAATGACAACATGGTGAGTACAGAAATGGGAGGTAGCCAGTCCTTTCTTCACCATCACCCAGGAGAAAACTGGAACCAGCTTTCTTCTCTTCTTTAGACTTCTCTAGCTAACCCAGACCCAGGATGCATGGTAGGCTGAATTCCTGATCAGGATGAGGTAATTACAATGTAGGTAGAACAAAATAAGTCCAAAGATAACAATAACAGCTCATGCATGTTTGCTATTGATTGATAATGCTAGCTCCACATGCATGTAAAATAGCTATTTCCTTCAGCTTGTCCAAGTCTTCTCAGGCTATTCTGAGGTTATCCTACCTGATAAACCAAAACCTTCTCTAGAAGGAAAGCAAAAAAACAAACTCTAAAATGGAGCTGGCCCTTCCTCTCTTCAAAGTTCACCTGAAACAGAGATCCTTCCTCTTCAGAGTTTGCATTTCCCCAGTTTTGCTAGTCTCTACTTAACTAAACAAATTGGAAAATTTGCCATGATTAAGTCAACATTAATGCATCAAATTCACTTTTAAGTGTATTGCTATGGACTTTCAAAAATGTTGCCTAAAATGTTTAACACAGCTTGGAAATCTTGTGTGGTTTCTAGTGGGTATTTAATTTTGCTCCATCTCTATATTTGTTGAAAATATCTTTCCCCATTTCCTTAATTTTCTGGAATCTTTTTCTGTTGCTATTGAACACAAGGAAATGAAGACTTTGAAAGTTACAAACATAATTGCCCAACTTCCTACAAAGGGTAAAAACTATATTATGTCATAAACAGTCATCTTTTGAGATATACAGAGGTTAAGTAGGAGGTGAAATAATGAACTGGCTGAAAAGTGTGAAAAAAAATCTCACTTGGAGAATTAATGATAAGGTTTATATTTCACTTCCCCGGCAGACAAAATTCTAACTGCTGAAGGTTTCCAATTTCTTAGATCACACCAATCAGAAAACTCAGGTATCAACTCCTGATGTCTAGACTGGCACCAATAAAGAAGTGGTTTGCCAGTGACGTTCACTCTGATTTTCCAGGCAAGCTTACAGCCTTCAGATTAGGTTTGGCCCTGTTTAAGATCAATTAGATACTGCCATAAATGCAAGAACCAGGTGTATTCATGAGGGATGAGGGTGGGTGTAAAAAAAATCCAAGTCTTTTAGGAAGAAAATGGCAGAAACTTAGTAATTATCATTATTACCATATGTTACTCAGTTGCAATACCACTCACTATAATTGCTATAAAACTCCATAAAAGGAAAACTCAATAGGAAATGTTCATGTATGCTATGTATCAATAATACAGATTCCAATGCACTAAGTCAGATCATTACACTAAAAAGCATGGTAACTTTGAGATGAAAATTCAAGATAATTAAACCAAAGAGCTAAGACAGACCTGAAGTTCATTTTCTTTTATTATGCTACAATTCTATATGTGTTTACATAGAAATAAATCCCACCGAGATCAGTGAGATTTGGTCCCAGGGAGCTGAAAATGTAATTGGGCTGAAGCTTTATTCAAAAAAATCAAGTAATATGTATGATGGTATGATTTTAATTTTAACTCCCCAACAGAACACTTCTAATTTCTTTTTCTCCTTCTCTGTCTCTGTCTATCTCTCTTTCTCTCTCACACACACACACAAAATTCATTTTCTTTGACATGCAAAAATAGGGTGTAACAGTATACATTTATTATTAGCTTGTTTCACAAAAACTAAGTTGTCTAGTAGAACAATGCTTAGTAACTGGTTTGAGGATGTATTTACATGTGTTTTTAATAGAAGCAGTCTTTTCAGTGTTTTGATGCTAATTAAAAATAAAGCTTGTAACAGACAAGGTTTTAATTCTGTGTTGGGAGACATAATGCTTTTGTGTTTGCCAAAATAGTTTTAAAGTCTGCCACATGCAAATGACCTCACCATTCCAGAAACTAGGACTGTGGAGCTCCCAGATTACTAAGGCTATATTTCAAAGAAATGTTTTTAATGATGGAAATGGTATTTCTCGGTAGACTATGGGAATCCCATTTCCAGTCTGAGACCTGAAAAGTCCATCATCAGGAAAATATCATTATTCCGTGAAAGCCATTATTCTCATTCTCCTCTCAATTTCCATTTAAAAAATGCTATACTGCTTTACACATTTTCTGCAATAGTTATTCTACTCCATCAGACAGCTCTTCCTGGTTTCCCATTTAGTAGTACAAATAATGAATACAAATATAAATATGAATATGTTGGTAAATGCTGGCTCTTATCACAATGGCTTCCATTATTCTTAACAGCAGATCTGTTTTATCTTCTTGAAAAATATATTTATTTATATTTATACACACCATCCATTCTCACCCCTCCAGCATCTTCCTCATTCTCCTACAAAGTACCTCATGATTGCTTCTCATGAGTAGATCAGTACTGCCTCTAGCTGGCCAATGAGAGAGCATAAAAATGGTGTTCTCCAGCCATTGTTCCTCTATCTTTATTATTCTGCCCTTGTTTTGAAATGAAGCCAATGCCATACTTTAAGGCAACCGACAATTATGGATAAAAGATGGTGACTTCATTCCAGAAGGGAGGAATCTGAGGATCCCTGGCATAGACAGAGTTCCCACCACCAGTGTGCAATTTTATTCATGGCTGGGGAAGCAGCTGAACTGGAAAATAATCTGCTTTCTTGCAGAAGGCCTCGGGAAGACTTATGGGTTCATCAAGATTCATCCTAGCATGGCTACGGTGCAAACAAGACCAAAAGATTCAAGAAATAACTCAGGTTGCAAACATTTAGGGTTGCGGGTTACCTACTTCTGATCTCGTATTTTTGAGTTGATAAAAATGCTTACAAATGAACTCATACAAACAGGTCTAAGTAAGGAACTGCTATTTTTAATCAATCATCCTTCTGCTCCCTTAAGTGAAATACACACATATAAAAAGCAGGATAATTTTTATATCAGATGTAAATTTGACACTATAGGCCACAATCCATCTAGAAGTTAGGTATACAAAAACTGTCCAAGCCAAAAGATGCCCACCATATATTAATTTAACATTAGTTATAGCCATGAGCTTTAGATCTCAAGACTGAAAAGCCCTATGCGAACATTAATGGAAGATTTTCCCCAAATGATGGGAG